TATAGTTCCAGTTGTTGTAGTTGACTGTTCCTGTTTACCACATTCGGTTACACGAAATGTGCAACGTTGAGTCTAAAATAATGTAGCTTCTCCTTGTGCACATGAAAATGTGAAATGTAAGCATTAAACCAAATTAAACATAATTAGAACAGTTTCAAATGAGTGTCGTAAAGCCAAAACTAAAGTTACCACTCTGGCTAATCAACAGATGCAGAGAGCGCAATGAGCCAATCAAAACTGAGAAGGAAAATAAATATATGTAAATGTTGTCAAACGTGAAAAACACGAGAGCAAGTCACGATTGGAAATGATGTTTTTTTTTTTCTGCGGATTGGTTACGAAAGTACCAGGAACTTTTCCTAACCAATCACAAAAAAGTAGTGCAAAACTAAAGTTAACGCAAATTAATGACACTCAATTGAAAACCGTGCTATTTATAATTGTTGTTATTATTTCAAAACATCGCATCACAAAAATGTAATGTGACAAACGAGTAAGTGTTAGCATGTATATGTTGTGGTTCAATTTTATCCTTGGTTCAATTTTTATTTTCCATTGTTCTTTTCTATGTTAATATATGATAATGAATTTTAAACAAAGGAAATTGAAAATTGAACCAAAGATAAAATTGAACTACAACGTATACATAGAAGACAGTTCAAGATTCAAGGTTGAAGCCATGAGTTAAGCAACATCTTGTGACTTGTCCTATAAGTTTCATTTTCCATTAAATAGTTTTAGTCATAAATGCCTTTAAAATTTTAAAAAAAATAAAAGAGTGTTGAAGGTTGATCCGTGGGTCTGCTTGTATACTTCTCGCCAGCATAATCAATGAAAGACATCATTGACGTCATGCCAGCCACTGATAGTTTATATTTCATATAGATCAGCCAATCGATGACCACTATTGGCGCTGGTAACAGTTTTTGTTATATTCAGTTTGAAAATGTTTTTAAGAACTTACTTATAGCCGTGCTTGGAAGTCACGATATTTTTGGATTCACCTGGCCCAGAAGGCCCTTGGAGACGTATTCTCCTACGTAGGGCACGCAGTCGTTATTTGGATCGTCACGCGAGGTTTGGAGAGAAGCGTTGCGTGACGATCCAAGAACGGAAGCTGCAATGGACGTAGCAATGAAGAAGAAGGCCTGGGTCGAGTAAAATGGCGAAAATCAAGATGGCGGCTGTTTATCAAGTGTGATCTTGTAGGCAGGTACGCTTCTTCTAACTCTTTTCTCCGTGAAAGTAAATTTGGTTGATTAGTTAGGGTAGTCCGCAGGGTAGTCCGCGGACTAGTCCGTAGAGTAGTCCGCGGAGTAGTCCGTAGAGTAGTCCGCGGAGTGGGGTCAGTGGGTAGTCCGCGGAGTGGGGGTCAGTTTTTTCAACTCTCCCCTCTTTTGGGCCATGTAATAAATCAATCAAGCTTGTTCAGTCAAGATAGCTGGATATTGGCCTCACAAAAAAGTGCTTGGCTAATATCTAGCCGTCTTGAACAAACATTGGTCAATAACACATAATTATTTGGAACAATGACTAAACTTTGTGAACATCTTTTCCAAAAAGGCATTTTGTATCGCTTTTAAAGGGCTATGTTATGCTATATTTTGCTCTTTGAGAGGCTTAAATGTGCCTTGGCATAGATTGAATTTCAGAAATAATGGTCCAGTTTTGTTATTTACTGCACTTTTCACAAAGATGCGAACTCTTAAGTTGAAAAGCCGCCTTCACAATTGAATTTTTCCCTGCCGTCAATTGTAATTACAATCACAAGCAATGAGCCTATGAACCACGGAAACACACAAATCAGATCGAAATCAACCAATCACAAACCATGAGCTTTTGAACCCGTTAAGTTCTGTTTGCTAAGACTTTGGCTAAGATGATTGACGACAATGAAAAATGCAAATGTCAGTTGGCTTTTGAACTTTAGAATTCGCATGTTTTTGAAAAGCCCAGCAATACTTTATTGAGGCATTGAGATGGTTTCCTGTCACCTGTTGCTATAAATGACAAGGATGGACATGGATTGAAAGTCAAAAAACTTGGGCCAACGTTTTCAATTTTTAATCTCATGACTGTAGAAATGTCACTATGGTTTGTGCTCCCTGCGGACGAAATTGGCTTGATACATGTATCTTCTTCATAACTCCACAGTTCAAGCATTTTGTGTAAAGGTGCTAAGTAATGACTTAAGCATAGAAGTGACCTAAAACAGCAGTATCCTCATGACATAGCCCCTCAGAAACAATTAAATCTGTCATGGTCTTGAAATAATTGCCTTCATCATTGTGTGCTAATGAAAGAGGCTGACAAGGTTTTTTGTCCAAGATTACAATGTGAAACTTTTATTTAAGTATCTGTTGATTTCGTTAAGAGGTTTTAAAAAAGGTGTACGTGAAACACAAAAACAGTATTAACAGACTTGTATTACGTGAAAGTGTAGCCATACTTTTTTTTGTTGATGTATTATGGATTTGAATCTTTGCACTGGTCATAGAAAATTGTAAGTAGTTTCGAACACCATGTCAGAAGAGTAAGAATATTTCCTGACACAATATAATATTATCCTAAATGGTTCGAGTCCAGGATTCATTTCATATATGTAAATGGTATATTATACAGCTGTAGTCCTTATTGGGACTTTTGTTGACAGGGACTGATGTTTTGGGAATAATCATGAAAATGATGATGATCACCCTGTTGTGTCGAAACGTCAGTCGCTGTCAACAACAGTCCTACTCAGGACTGCAATGTACATTCACCGGGCAAATCATTTCCACTTTCCTGAAATATTATTGACTACAAAACTATCACTAGCCATAAGCTGCACATGAATTTAACGGTTTATCACTATCTGCAATAAATGATATTAATTTGTTAACCGACTTGACAGTTTCTGTATATAAAAAAACAGTACTACACATGACTCGTGCGTAGCTAATGAGAGGCAGTTCATTTTCATCTGTAAGTACTGCTCAAAAGTAGAAGGATTTGTATGGGGAAAATCTGCTGGTGGAGATTAGTGGGCCAGAACCGCTATTTTTCCACTACTCTGAAGTTACTGCCACCTACGTTGTTGGGTACATTAGTTCCCTTGGACATATAAAATAGAAAGATCATAAGGCCGGGGAATCTTAATGACACTCAGCGACTGCTCCATCAGAGCTTGCTTAAGTGAGTTCGATGAGGTTTTAGTTTAAGAAGCTGGACAGAGGGAGATATGCGAACACACTGTATCGTAATACCCACCGTTTCAGAATCTTTATTGGGGTCTTTCTGCAGGTACCGGAAAGCTTTGTATTTTTGGTCACTTGGGATTAGTCTTTATTTGGAGTTGTTTTGTTTCCTGTCTTTTATTACTATTGTATTACGTAATCTGTGCTCCGGTACTCACAGAAGGAACCCTTTATTGCCTATTGGTAGTGCAGGCAGAGTACTCCTGATCCTGTGTCATATATTTATTGCAAGGCCTATTATTAGAACTGGCTTCTAAAATCCAAACCCGTTTTCAGAAAATTAGTGGCTTCTTGAGTTGTACTCGGTTTGCGAAACAATTGCCTTGTCCACTTGAAGCCAGCACATTTGTTAATAATTCGTTAAAATTTAGATCCAATCATATATTTCTCAATATTTTGATTATTCCTCTTTCGGATCCAGTCTTTCTCTCTTATTCATGTGAAGTTTAAAAGACAAGTACGTTTATTGATTGATTTCAAGCCGTAATGGGCAATTTCTACTGCCCCAATTTTTGTAATTTTGTTATATTTCAAACAGCAACGAAGAAGGGTATTTTACATGCGGCCACATTGGCCTTGTACAACGAACTATCAGTTTAATTCTGCAGTTTCAGCATATCGCCAATATGAGGCCTGAACACGGACTTACAATCCGAAGTTCTAGGTGTTTATCGCTCGGCCACCACGCCTTCAAAATGAGCTGTAGTATACTCCAAAATGAGGAAAGAAGTTTAAGAGGCGCATATACTCCTCAAAATAACTTAAGAGGGTTTATCCTTCGCTGTAACTGCTCTTGCCCATATTCTCCTTGGCCCTACCCCATGTTAAAAACTCATGGTACGTCTAGAATGCCTTTCCCTTTTCTAAGGATTACCTCAACCCTCTCTGTATCAGTAATACCTTAAAACTACACGTGAGGTGTCTTCTGTGACCCGCGAAACCGGTAAGAGCGCCTGACATTCTTACGACCCCATCTCAGTTCTTTGAGGGGTCGAAGCCCGTATCGTAGTTGTTGTCGATCTTCTATAAATATTTTCCTATCCCACCACCACCACAAACACGCATCCCTGGCCTCGACTAAAATTACTTGATACTATCGACGGTATTCCTCTAACGCTATTTAGATCCCCCCCCCCCCTCCCCACCCACTATAACTTCAAAACCGCTCATGAAACGGCCAGCAAAATCACACAGGGAAATTTACTCATCATTTGCAACATTTGACGCATCCCGCCTCCCGCGATACTTTCAATTCCGAATCTCTGCCGGATTTTGCTTTAAAATCCCGAATCCCGAGATTCAAATAAGGGAAATCCCGGATCCCGAAAAACCTATTGAAGACCCTCTACCATTTGGTCATTTTAAATTCAAATCAGCCGCAAAAAAAGTCTGGATTACACTAACAGTTATAACAAATTTGATAAAATATTGCTATAAGTTTAATGCTATAAATTAATAGGCAAAAATCCAAATAAATCCTTTTATAAGAAAAAAACATGGCTTTCTAAACCCGATTGCCATGGAAACGTCAATGTTGAAGTTTATGTCGATCCAATCCAGGAAGTGATTGAAGATTTACTACTCCCAACTTTGTTCGGTCAATCAGAGCCTCTCCCTAACGAGGTGCGCAGACTTGCTACCTTAGCAACAGGTCAAGGGGGTCTAGGCATTCCTGATCTGAAATCCGAGCCACCGCAGCAGTTTGCTGCCTCGAGACTAATAACCACCGCTCACGTAGATTCTATTACTTCACAGAGTTCCATCATGGTTCCAGGAGAAAGATCTACGGAGGAGCTAAAGAGACATCAACAATCACTTAAGAGAGCAAGTGCCAAAGAGAAAATGGATAGCATTGATTCAAGCCTCTCCCCAGGCCTGCTGCGTCTGGTTAATCAATCGAGGGACAAGGGCGCAAGTTCTTGGCTGAATGCGATGCCTCTCGCAGACAAAGGTTTAGCCCTCAACAAGCAAGAGTTCAGAGACTTGCTACGCTTGCGTTATGACTTGCCCTTAGTCGATTTACCAAGTCATTGCATATGTGGGGATAAATTCACCGTTAGTCACGCCCTCTCTTGTAAAAAGGGGGGGTTTGTAGCGCAGAGACATGATGGTGTACGGAACTTGTTAACGACATTCATCGACAAGATCTGCAATAATGTCGAAATCGAACCACGCCTTCAACCCCTGGACAACGAGCGATTTCATTTGAGGAGCGCTGTTACAAGTTCTGAGGCAAGGTTGGACATCAAAGCCGGAGGTTTCTGGGCAAGAGGAGTTACGGCATTTTTTGATGTTAGAGTTACGCACGTCAACTCCAAATGTTACCAGAGCAAGCCAACATCGGAAGTGTTCAAAGAGCAAGAAGAAGAGAAGAAGCGCAAGTACCAGCAGCGGGTGTTAGATGTAGAAATGGGTTCGTTTACGCCTTTAGTGTTTGGAACCAGTGGCGGAATGGGAAAGGAGTGTCAGCGGTTCTTAAAGCATCTCGCAGACAAGATAGCTCAGAAAGACACCGAGCCTTATCATATTGTAATCACTTGGCTCAGGACACAGATCTTGTTTGAACTCTTAAGATCGGTACATGCATGCGTCAGAGGTTCGTGAACGCCGTTTCGTAGCAAGATAGAGCAATCATTAGACTGTAAAATAAATGCCGCTAGTGCGGATATCTGAACGTGTCTATATGCTTTTACTTAGGGCTTTTTATCGACACTGGTTTAGCCGTCATTAGTATAATTCGATAGTACGATCTTAATATCTCTGCATAATGGAATTCTTAATTTTATAGAATTTCGAACTTTTATTATTGATTATATCTATTTCCTCTTCTTTTATGTAAGGTTAAGTTACTTCTATTTTTTAGAATTTGTAAATGAATAGTTTTTTTTTCTTTCTTCACTTATTACATATAGGATTGTTTTTGATCTCTAATGAAGGAATTGTAGATAGTGTTTTGATGAATTAATTAGATCTTTTGTAATAGCAGGTTGATTGTAAATAGGATTTTAATTGAGGTTTTGTAATAAAGATTTTATTTTTATTTTAATATGTTGACGTACTCCTGACTACTACTTTAAAATGTTCCCAGATTATTTCTAGGAAAAGTCGCTAAGGTTGGTGATCATAGCTGAAACCGGCACCAGTTGAAGTTATTCAAATTTTTAGCGATGGCGGGAGGGGAGGGGGAGTCGGGGTTTCGGTCCAAAAGGCCCCCCGTCGGTCTGAATAGGGTCATATAATAATAATAATAATAATAATAATAATAATAATAATAATAATAATAATAATAATAATAATAATAATAATGATAATAATAATAAGTCTGGTTTATTGATAAAATCGTCGCGCTTAGAAATAAGCGAATTACGAAATTATTTTACAAAGATATAGATATTACTAAAAAAAATTAATTTAAACTAATTACATCGTGTTCAAAATGGACTGGGCCTTACAATTATGAGAAGATATAATGCACTAAATTAGATAAAAAAACTAGAAACTAGAAATATATATCAAGTTATACATTAAATTTCCATAAGTTCCTGAATTACATGCCATGAGCATAAAGGCACATCGCGGGAAAAAGTTTCGTTTAAAGCGTTCAGTTTTGCAACTTAAGAGGGATGGTCTGTCTTTGTTGCGAAGGAACAAATATGACAAATATGGCGTAAAACCTAGCTTTTGAGCTTGACAAGCTTACTGTGACTGAGAACACGCTTATGTCACGTGTACAACTTAATCTAAGAAATAACAAATAGTTTATTACTGGGCTCTCTTGCAGCAAAAAAAAGGAATTAACGAGTAAAATTACTTACTTACTTACTTACTTACTACTGATTTGTACTACAATAAAAATTAATCATACTAGTTAAAATATCGAAATGTAAATTAGTGATCTGCCCTCTTTTTCCTACAGGTAATAGATTCATTAAACAAATATAATTTGTCTGCGTTCTTCCTTAGATTGTACTCGGGCTGATTAATGAGTGGCCTTGGCAATAAGAAGTGTAAAGGATAGTCTTTAGACTTCATCTTATCCATGTAAGACTTAACACAAAAGTCATGGATCTCTCGAGTTCTTTTCTTTAGATTTGGTAATTGCAAGGCCTCCGTATAGGACTCAGCCTCAGGATAAATTTTCCTCAAAGCCCTTCTTTGGACTCGCTCGATTACATCGGATAAATAGTCTGGAATAACCTGCCATCATCATATTCTATTACAGGTCTTAACTGTACTTAGATAAACTTTAAGAATGTTATCTTCGGCCACACCAGCCCTACATAATATCCTAAGAGAGTATAACTTCTTGCTGGCTTTCTTGACGATGAGATCTGCATGGTTATTCCACTTAAGTTAATTGTTCATTATTACTCCTAAGATCTTGTAATTTTCAACCCGCTCTATAATACTGTTACCTATTACAATAGGGTTAGGCTAGGAGTTAGAATTGTGAAGGAAATTAATAAACATCTCTTTACACTTAGCTGGCTTAATAAAATCAACCAAAAAGAACTTTATGAACGTGTCAAAGTAGCTAGCCGAGGGTAATACCCCTCTACTAATTGTGGACACTCAACAACATAATTAAGAAAACCTATTATTAACTAATATCTGATCAAAAGCCTACTAACTATTCGTTGTTACTTAAGGCCTTAAAAACTAACTAAAATAGAAAGCCAGTCTGGAAAATTTCATTCTGTTATGAGTTAAAAAGAATGCAGTTCGTGCAATTATTATCTTCCATCGCACTTTAAATCACATTTCCGAACACGATGTTTAAAACTCGTCGAGGGTCGGTAGGGTCCTAATTTCGCCAGGTAGTCTATTCCTCAACTTAGGTCCCAAATAAGTGAGCGAGTGTTTGTCATATTTCTTGGTTTCAAATCTTGGGATGGCGAACACTGCTATACTCTCAAGTTGTAAGGTGTACAATGCATATGAAATAGCTCGGATATTTTCATGGGACATAGTTTGTGTTTAACCTTATACATGAGGATAGCAGTATCCTTCAATCTTCTATTCTGTAACGTTATTAGATCACCCTTGTCCAATGGAGCTTTGTAGCTTGATTGCTTATCCAGAAAAAGTGCGCGTAATGCTGTTTCTTGCATGCGTTCGAGTTTTCTTTTGTTACAAGCAGTGCAGAGGTGCCAGGTCAGATGGCAATAAGTTAAGTAGGGCAATATAGCTGATTTATACAAAGTTAATTTAGCATTGGTAGGAATGAGTTTTTTAAGCCTCATCATTACTCCGACCCTTTGACTCGCCCTCTTACATATTTCATTAATATGAATATTAAAATTCAACTGGTCGTCTATGGTGACATCTAACAACTTAAGGGTCCTTAAGACTGCCTGAAGATTCGACGGTGTTTCCTTGAAAGTGTAATGGAATATCACTTACTGTACTGTTACATAGTGTGATATTTACTGAGGTTTCCTTTTTGAAAATTGCTTGCATACCAACCAGGTGTGTTATTATTGGCATTTCTTATTAGATTGTTGTTAGCTGTTTCTAGGTCCCCCGCTATTTCATACATTGGATGGTCGTCCGCGTATATATATAGAGAGATGAATCAATTACATATGTCAAATCGTCTTGGAAGATGTTACATCTGATAATGGGCCCAGGGCCGATCTCTGAGGACAGCCTCTCTTAGTCCGCTTCCACTCGCTTCTCTAGTAATAACTCCCAGTTTCACTCGATTTAGTCGATCACACAGATAGGATCTTATAAGGTCAAGTAATTCCTCTTGAAATCGATACATTCTTAATTTGCTGATAGTAAAGAGTAAGTTTCATGTTATGAGATACCGCGAAATTATTGCAACGACATTGAGCAAACTTATAGAGTTCCTCGGAAAAATCTCCAAGGAGTGGTATCGTCGACAAATTTAATGTGTAGGTGCCAGTCACACAGGAATTTATTCGTCATAACTGCGAAAACTGTTACACCTAGTTTTGTCCCAGTAGGATACTCCTCTTTTCAGAGTTATAGCCAATCCGACAGAGTTCCTCCGATTCTAACTGCTTGCTACCGGTTGGTCAGGAAGGCCCGGCGCGATCCATTTCAGGAGGACAGGATGGACTTCTAATTTGGCCAGCTCTTGCATCAGTGATGTGGTCAATAAGATCAAATCCCTTTGTGAAATCAGTTAAGAACAGTCGAGCAGAAGCCTCGGCACTATCCACCGCTTCATAGACAGCTTGCAACATGTACAAAAGGGCATCTGTTGTCGAATACCCCTTGCGAACATATTCTCTAGATCTATTTATGATGTAATAATAATGGCTTATTTTAAGGAGTCTTGTACTCGGTTTTAAGCCTACCTCAGATTGAGCGATTGATTGATTTAATTGTCATTGTAATTGTAAAACTGAAACTTGATTAAATAAATAAATAATAGGGGTATAAGTCTTCTGCAGGTAAAACCCTCCATAACTTTACAATTGTACTCGTAAGCGATATCGGTCTTAGATCACTTTCAATGGCCCTAGGAGGGATCACCTTAGGGAGAGGACTAACAATTGATGATTTGATACCCCTCCCTTAACGACTGCTTATAAATACTACAGGTTGTAGGAGCTAACTCGGGTTCAAAGTTCTTAAAGAGCCTTTTGGGAATGTTGCCTGCGGGACCTACCGCCCTAGACACTTGGAGCGAAGACAGAGAACTTTAAGTCTCATTATCGAAAACAGCGACAAACTTATATGGTACAGACAACGGCTGCATTCCTTGATGCACGAGTGGCAGATGTTCCGTAAGGTTAACAAAGAAGTCAGTTTGAAAATAAACTATAGCAACCGCTCTCTACTTGGCTTTTAATGCTCCGAACCCATAACTCTTTGCTAAAAGCAAAGAACTAGACCAGAATGTTTGTGAGGAAAAGGGGTAAGAGATGAAGTAATCCAAATATGGAGAGCAGGTCACTTTTCTCTACACAGTGGTGTAATAAGGCATAGGTCGCACTTGGGAAAAGTTTTCATCTTTGCCGGCTAAAAAACCACGAAAATTCGAAAGCGCAACCGGAAAAGAAAACTTTTAGTCAAATCGAGGAGGGTCGCACTAGTAGCTACTAGTGGGAGTTAATTGTCGTTGTTTTGACACATTGAGAACTAAAGTAGGCCAGAAACCAGAGAACATTATCTCTTCGTAGTCTGATCATTTGGCGTAGGATCGTTTTCCTCCTTTCCCAGTTCAGGAGGATGGGAGAAATAAAGGAAATAAAGTGCTTGGCTGCAAAGACTGCATTTAGCTCGGAGAATAACAAACCTGTGACGGTACTTGCCTTGGTAGAGAGTTCCCGTAAAAAGGTTAAAATAGCAAAGGATTACAAGCTTATGAATTGCTCGGTCGTAGAGAGTTTTCGCGAAGACATTAAAATGGCGAAAAGTAGTGGTAGCCTCGTCCGTCCACAACGAAAGCGCGAAGGTCAGAAAATTTCTACGATTGTTTCAACTTGATCGTGTTTCAAATTGGTCACGTTTCGCTGACAAGTGCTGACACTCTGTGATTCCTATTGTTTAGCTCGAGTTTTCCAAAATCTGCCTGCCCCACCCAAGCAATAGGGCGTCTTTAATGTTTTTTGCGATTTTCAAAGTTTTTTCCAACTTGAAAACTTGGGGTCGCACTTGGCAAGGTGCCCATCCTCGGAGACCCAGGGGCAGTCAGTCGGGTCGAGAGAATAGGCGCGACGAAAGTTTTCAAGTACGGGCGAAAGAGCCCCTGGGTACCGACTCTTACCGAACCATTTCCAAAAATTCAAACGGATGCCGGCTCCTGATTGGGCACAAAAAAACCTTTGTATTATTGTGCCCAATCAGCGAACAGTATCTCCCGAGTTCTTTTCATGTGTTCGTACACGACGGCTATTATCTCGCCATACTTGTCTGGTTCGTTCACCAAGGTTTCGCGAGGGAAACTTTCACTTTTCTGCTTCCCCAAACAGAAACGAAGGAACTATCGATGACTCGGAAAAACGTTTGGGATGACTATTCCCATCTGCACCAAGAAAATTCTGCTTCTGACCGATCACAAGGTATCGTAAATAACGTAAATAGAAGGCGTGATCGATGAAAGCTTGAATTGAATACGTCTTGAAAGCTCAAGCTTTAAAATACCCTCACATGCGTTTCCATGTGTTAGTTTTCGGGAAGACAGTATTTTCAAATGAACGGGGATGTTCTGTAACTGAAAGTTTCCTGATTGCGTGCATTTCTTTGGTGAACGAGCCAGACAAGTATGCACGCGCGCATGCATTCCCACAGGTAAAGTAGGAAGGCTTTCTAAATTACCCGCGTTAAGTAGGTTACGCTACGCACGTGTGACTTATGGAGAATCATGGCTGCCATTATTCCAACAAGGAAAGATATTAGAGAAGCTATCTCTGAAGGTCTTAAGTCTTTTCCAGACGTCGAGGAACTGAAGCCTGAGCAGGTTTTAATCGTTGAGAATGTTGTGCTTAAAAAGGACGTGTTTGCAGCTTTGCCCACTGGATTCGGTAAAAGCCTGACTTTTCAGATCTTACCTAGCGTTTGTAAAGCTTTATTTTGCCGGGGATTTGACATGCCTTCATTGCCAGTGGTAATTGTGGTTTCCCCTTTAAGCTCAATCGTGAAAGACCAGGTTACATACTTGAGGTCACACGGCTTTGAAGCTGCCTTCATTGGAGAAAGTGCTAAACAAGATAATGATATTTTTGAGGGCAAGATTAAATGTCACTTTTTATATGGAAGTCCAGAGTCATTTGTTGGGGACATAAAGTTCCGGGAAATGTTTTCACAGCAGCATTACAGGCAGAATGTTGTGGCCCTTGTCTGTGACGAAGTTCACACTGTGGTACACTGGTAAGAAACTTTAAGCTTTATTTATTTCCTTTTTATTCTTGAAATCTGCTTAATGCAATAATTAGTATTGCATTAAATTGAGTTAAATAATGTTTTTTAGCCGTAAACTGATGTCAAAAATTTCTGTTATTACTAACTCACTGTAAAGAGGAAGCATTCTCTCATGAGTGACATGACAGATGTACAGTATAGGTGTTAGTCTTCTCTAGTAGGAAAGGTACAGTTTCCTATATTTGCAGAAACTAATTGCATTGCATGTGCTTAATGTAAGCTCTTAGGTGGTCAAAACGTGATAGTATATACAATACATTGCATACTGGAAGCAATGTTACCTCCACTGTAATATTGTCTCTGTGATGTTTTGCTACCCACTAACTCACAACCATGGCCAGTTTCTTTTGAATCATTCTCCTTTAATATATCCTTTCTGAAGATATATGGACAGTCATAGTTAAACCCCTATCAGGAATTGCTAAATACTATGTTGCAGTTGTATACTGTTTCCGCATTTCTTACACAAAATTATGTACATTTTCATGCCTAATAGTGTTCTTGGAATTGTTCAATATCTTATGATTATACAGTCATTCTAAAATATTTATACAATAACAAGAGCATTATTATAATTTTTGCTGCTTGCATGGTAGATAAGTAAGATATATTATTTATGTAGAACATCGCTCTTTAGCTACAAATCACTTGTCTGGTCTCTCTAGGGGTGAGAAAAAGGATGGAAAGGAGCCATTCAGAAAGTGGTGTGGTCTTGTTGGTGAGATCAGGTCTTTTTTGCCAAAGCAAGTCCCATTTTTAGCACTTACAGCCACTGCTTCACCCTTGACCAGAGATAAAATCATTAAAAGTTTGAGTTTAAAGAAATGTCTGGAAATATCAGTTAGTCCAAACAGAGAGAACATCAAGCTGTTTGTTTTGAAGGTTACCAGTGAAATTTCTGTAAACTTTACATGGCTTGCCAGGGAGTTAAACGAAAAGAACATTGCATGTCTGCGGACATTAATATATGTCCGAGACTATAAAACATGTGGTGAGCTCTACCAATTTTTCATGAGCAGTTTGCTTGACAAGGCGTACTACCCATATGGTGCTGAAAAGAAGTGTACAAACAGAATGGTGGCAATGTATCACAGTGGCACTTCACCTTCCATCCAGGATCACGTATTACAATCACTCAAGGATCCAATTGGTAAGGTGCGAATTGTGATTGCAACAAATGCCCTTGGAATGGGGGTAGACATAAAGGGTTTACACCATGTTATAAACTATGGTCCTCCCCCAGACCTAGAATCATATGTTCAAGAAATGGGAAGAGCTGGTAGAGATGGTGCATATTCAGAGGCAGCATTACTCTTTCATGGAAGACAACTTCGCAAGTGTAAACCAGAGATGCTGGAATACACAAAGTCAAAGTCCTGCAGAAGAAGGCAAATTCTTGATTTTTTTAAAGTTACAAGTCAAGGAAGAAGAATAGAGAAGAAACATTTATGCTGTGATGTCTGTGCTCAAGATTGTGCTTGTGGACAAGACTGTCCACAAAATGTGGGAACTATGGTCTCCAAAATGACTCTTCCAGCAGCTGATGATGCTCCAAGGGGCAGAAGTGTAAGTGAAAGTGATAGAAGAGCCCCAAAGGGTCTATTAGAGGAGTGTCAGGAAAGCATGCGTCAGGCAGTGTTACAATCAAGTCAGCATTGTTTTTATTCAAATATTGACCACATCACTGGCTTTACTGACCGCATAATTGAAGATACAACCTCAAAGTGTGATTTTTTGTTTAGTGTTGATGATATTATTGAACAAATTCCAGTTTTAAGTGTACAGCATGCATTCAAAGTGTATGATTGTCTTTGTGAGGTGTTTACAGACCTACAACAAGAAAGTCTGGAGCAGTAGTTAATATATAATCTCACTTGTCAGGACTTTCAGTATCAATGCCTTTCATCCACGTATGCTGTGTATTTTGATAATAACAGTGTATTTTGCAAAGAATAATTACTTTTCTAAGGCTATGATATTTCAATACCTACAGCTGGACTTGGCTTTGATATGGCCTCCTCTAAAAGAATTTGATGAGATGTGAACTGGGTTTTTCTGTGGGACATGAAGCTGTTCTCTTAATATAAAAATTCAGTTTTTTTAAAAAAAAATTCTTTGTACCATTTGTTCTTGTTTTGAATGAAAGACTGTGAAAGATGGGTCCCTGTTGCTGGCCAGTAGGGACAGAGACTGATAGAAGTCAGTGACTGATTTGACTTGCAAGGTTTAAGTGATGCAAAATAGCTCTTACTGTTTTAAAAGATCACTTTCCTGCATTAATGCTAGAAACTAGCTTTTTCATTTGTCCCTACAAAGTCAATTAATAATTGTTTCCTTCTCACAGATTTTGAAGAAATTTGGCTAGGACAGTCGATAGCCACTATTAGTTTTTGAAAAATTAAAATGACTCACTTGCTCTGTCTGGCCAACAAATTTTTTCTTCTTTTTAAGGTTAAAGACGCCAAAATTAAGGGTGTTTGTAACTGGTTATAACACTATTAGGGAAACTTGTAATGACAACCAACTAACATATTATCCTTTTCACTAATAGTATAGGACATGCAATTGAAGCCATTGTTGTGGTGTCCAATTTAAAAGAGTTGTATCCATCTTTTAAAAGTTGAAGTCCTTAGTAATCTTTTAGGAGAAACCTTATGTGGCCATACTGAACCAACTATTTGGAATAAAGTTTGACTTGACTTAAAAATTGTAAGGATGCACATCTAAACTGAATTTACCCAGTTCTTCTTGTGCTTTGTTAGCCATGCATTTAAGTCTGCAAAGTCAAGAACAGATATGGGGTCTTTAGGGATGGATCCAACATTAGAGTGTGTTCTTCCAGGAACTTCACAAAATGCTTCAATTTCCTTTAAAATGTTGACAATGGTAGTGATGTCTGAATCTTCCCCTCTTTTGTGTTTTGTTGACTCTCTGCGGACATTAGTTGTCTGATCAAAATTGTTCATGATGGACTTGACATCATCACTAGCCCTGCTGTAGGTCTGAGCCACCTTGAAAGAAAGGTTTGCACCTTGGCCATACATCAGCTGCTTCGTGTCTCTCACACAATGCTCCATGGCTTGATCAATTGCAATGTTTCTCCCCACCCCACCTTTGAGATTTACAGTACGGTTCCAGCGGAGAGAATGGGCCTCTTTTGGTGTAAGTAGTGCATGAAGTTGTGCGTGGAGCCTTACAGCTGCCAAAGCATATTTTGTCTTCCCACTCACTTTAAACAACAGCATCATAAATTTCCATAGGTATTCAACTCTTCCTCCATCACCCTCTTTAATTGCATCTTGAAAATCTTTGAAAAGAAGACCTGTTTTGACAATGTTATGCGAATAATTGAAAATCCCATCTTCATTGCGTGGATCTGGGGGACTTCTTTCATTTTGCTCATGATTTGTTATGTTCAGGCCATGCACTGTAACTTCATGGTTGTTTCTCCGTTTCTCGTGTTGATATTCTCTGTTACAATCTGGGTACCTACACTTAAAAATTTGGGGATGTTCTGATTGTTGTATATCAGTGAAGAGTACTGCTGCAGGTTGCGCTTCAAGAAGGACATACTTCTCCACAAGTTTCTCTACTGCGTCAAACAACTGTGTCTGTGATGTGGCACCAGGTTCCAGTTGGTTTGAGTTGGGAGTACTGTTTGGGGATGCCATGCCAAAAAATACCATGGCTGCATATACTATATACCCATCTACAACGGAGTTGAAGAATGCTTCACATCCATGATATGATTTGTTTACTTTGTCACACACGTCTTTTCTGTTCAATCTTGTTTTTAGTTGATACAGGGTTCCCAAGTCTCCCACTGACTGGCTTTTGTAGAGATAATCAAACAGCATCTGCAAATTTGTATTTAAAGTAATACATACTTTATTTATAGGATTATCCAAAATAACATATAAAATAAATTTCTTGCTGATAAAATAACCAATTATCCACCAGTGCAGTTAGAGTTACTAATGTTTGTTAAGATAAGTGGACCATTAAAAAAGCAGTAATGGAAATCCAATAAGGACAAAGTTTTATGTTAAATGGAACATATTGCTTTATTTATCACCTGTAGAAAATTCATCTCACAATGAAAATCTTCATGTTTTAGCACAAGGCCATGGAGTCTTTCATAAGGGCTATCTGCATCAGCAACGGCGTTAACAGCACTGACAGCCCGCTCAACAGTTAAATGGTCGCCACCAAGCGGTATCTTTTGAAGAATTCTGGACTTGTCAGCATTAGTTGGAACATACTCCTCATTACAGTGCTGAAGAATTTCTAACATCTCGGGGATTTTATTCTCATTTTTTTCCAAGAGACCCAAGTGTACCTGATGATTTCAAAAAAGGGTTTAGCTAATAGTACAAGTAATAAATTTATCACCTATTACCTTCTTATCATCGGTGTTCAAAATAATAACATTCAGAACCCCACTGAAGATCACCTGCTGAAGTGGGCTCACTGCTAAAATATTATTATTATTATTGTTGTTATTATTATTATTATTATTATTATTATTATTATTATTACCATTTCTATTTCTTATATTATAATTTCAGAACTTGTTTGATACTTTAATTAAAAATCTGGGTTCTGTTCATCAAAAATAAAATTTTTGAGGAGGTAAAATGCAATATTCTACAACAACCGATTCAACCCGCAAGCTACAGAGCAATGCTCCATTTTAGGTTACTTTAACCATACATGTAAATTGCATGTTATGGTATTCAGTCATTTTATTAATCATTTTGATGACCTTTCGGATGGGGTGGGGGCTCTACACGGCTCTCCTTTCAATAACTTTCAACCCCCCTCAGACAACAACAAAAATTAAATGACCCCCTCCCAGCATTCAAGAATATTGTTTTGGAAGCAACATATTCCACTGATTTAGTAGCAATGGCCCCACTCTTCCTCTAGATCTGGTACAAGAAACAGCACTGGGCATGGTAATGTCTGTAAGCTCATTCTGCTTGATATGAAAAGGCTTTTTTGATGGTATTTCAGTGAAGTTCCTGATAAAATAGCGGTGATAACATTTGGGTCTATGTGACATGAGAAAACTTTCATGACACCCCAATGACCATCTCCAAAGTCTAATACCCCCCCCCAATAACAAGGAAGCACCTCAATGTTTTCTGTCCCCAAATCCCTGCCCCCCAAAGGATAAAAAAAAAAAATCAGAAAACTGATACATTCAAAAAGTGGTCTGCTGGATTCCTTTTGCTTATACCTAACTTCTGTAATGAGGCAACATAAAAAAACTATGCAGAAAAATTGGAGCCAAATCTGTTTATAAAGGTACACTGCCAGTTGTGATTTTCAATAAAAAAGATGATAATAATTGGAATACCTGTAATAAGTTGTTATAACATTTACAACAATAACTAGCTGATCAGAAGGAACAGAACATTAGTTAAGTTGAAACCTACAATATGAGAGTGCTGACGCATTTCCTTGCTGTATTGGTGAGCAAGGTGAGAAGGAATCATGTGAGAAAACTGACTGAAGAACTTGCAATGCTTGGTTAGGATACGAAGCACAAGCACAATAAAGTCTTTTTTGAGTTTTGCATGATCTTCTGGTGTGGGCAGGAAACTTGAATTGGGTAATTCCATAATGTGTCTGATAGGTGCATCATCATTCAAATCCAAGTTAGCAACCCTGTTGTCATAAGCCAACAAATTAAACCAGTGTACTGACTCAGTGTCCTTATCCTTTGAGTAGATGGAAGGTCTTCTGAGCCAGTCCAAATTGTCCCCATTCAAGCCATAGTCACACACGCCATTAGTGTACTGCAGAGGTGTAGCTTCACCAGAATCATCATTGTTGTCTGAATCTGAATTTACTGAACTGACAAGGGAGTCATTTGACACTACTGACCTTGAATCAAAACCATCTGGGACATTTTCACATTCTGGTAAAAAGTAAAGTAAAACAACTGTAAATGCTTGAATTAGCAAAATTCTCTCAGAGTTGAGAGGAGGCACTAATTAAACAGCAGGTGCTTATTTGGTAAGGGTGCCTACTTTGGTTTTATGTTTCGGCCTAACAAAATAACAAACTGTCAAGTCATTCCCAGTAAATAGATCCACTATAGCAGAATGTACATGTATCTATAAGAAGAAACACAAATCTGTGTGACCGCTCTCAAATTTCTATTCCCTTTTAAGACCTATAGTTCTGGTGTTGAAAATGTTCTATTCTACTTCTATCACAGATATTCAGATTCGGTAATTTTTTTCTTTCTTGAGGGTAGGTTGGGGGAGTGCTTATTTCAATGGGGTCTCTAATTTTAATAATATTAGACTCAAGGGGTGCTTATTTGAATTGCTAATTTGAGTATTTTGCAGATGGTTTTGGTGACCAACATGTATTCTGAAAAAATTTATACCTATGCTTTTAATCTACAGTATTAATATCCTTATCGCTGTCATTTTTTCTATTAAATGGCAGATTATTTCAGTTGTCAATGATTTGTAAGTATTATAGTTATTGCATTAAGAACACCTACAGGCTATTTCTACTACATATAAATGTCTCTTAAAAATTGCAAATCATTGTCATACCAACATTTGGATCTTCAGATGGTGTATCCACTGCAGTACTTTCTTCTCCTCTCTCTTCAACAACAGTAAGCTGCAAAATAATGTTGGACCAACATAAGCATACATTTTAATAAATTCAAGACAACAAAGAATTATTTTTAAAAAATTAAAAAAGGAAATAAAAATGCATGTCTGTGACTGATTTCTCTTAGGAAATTACTGTTACTATTACTGTTTCGAATTCAATGAACATTTCAGCCAACTACATGTACCTCTTCTGGGGGATCTTTGTTTTTGTTTTCAACATTGGCTCTCCACGCCTTCACTTTCTTGCTGTAGCTAAGAGATACTTCTGCAATCTTTCTATTTGTTACAGCTTTGCAAACAGTCACTCCAAGCTTTTGTAGTCTCGAAAATCCCTGATGGTTATTATTAAAACAAGTCATCAAAGACATAAAACAAGAGGTGTAATTGTCATACACAGTATACTATTATTACTGGCAAGAGGTGTCAGTCACCGAGCAAGGGGAGAGGCCATGCTCCCTCTTTATTTTTGACCAAAACTAAGGTACCATGAACTTCATTTTGGTCACAGAGTAGGACCAGCCACGTTAGCTCCATGTCTGGAACTACTGAAACAATAACTCACCTTTTTTCGTGTTCGCCCAAGAAACAGTGAAAGGCCAACAAGATGTTGCACAGCAGATAACCTTGAATTGCGTCCCTTGAGCAGTACTGCACCAGCACAACCAATTATGGGCTTCAACAACTGTTTCTTCCTCTGGTTCCTAGAAATTGTGGGGGGCATTGCTATAGACTTAAGGACTTTGTAAAAGGTAGGGGCTTCCTTCATCCATTCTTTGAGAACTGCATTCCACTGAAAGTGTTTGAGGTCTCTAACAGCAGTCTTCTTTAGCAAGGATTTCTTCTCCAGTTTACGACACTCCTTGTTGATTTGGAGGCAGACACGATGAATCAAAGAATTTCTCAAACTTTTGGATTTAAAAGCAGCTGCGCTGATTGCTGAAGCAGGTCGTTTTAAGCAAAGGGCTATCCCCAGAGCGCTTTGATCTTTGGGTAATTCCCTTGACACAGTTTTGGATTTGAAGTGCACAATCACCTTGATCAGAACATAAGAATTATTGTATATTAAAGAACAAAATTACAACTGAATCAACATCATTACAAAGAAAACAACATCATTATTCATTGCATTCATAAATAAAGGCATACTGCTTAGATTGATACTTGCTTCCAATGATAATGAAATTTGGCAGTTTTTCAATATTATTGTGCTTATGCCCTGTGGTTACAAGGAGACTAATCTGGACAGATGACTGAGTGCTTACATCTTAAGTTGCCACATGTGCAGACCTGTCTAGAATTTCTGCAAGTGGTTTATTACACTGCAGCCTTCATTTTACTTGGGGACCAAGACTAGTATCTTTGAATTCATTCTCCAAATTAATATGACATGACGTGAGTAAGATCAGTACACGTAACTCAGCTGATCTTGTAGACAAGCTGTCCTGATAATTACTGGAAAAATAATATTATATTGGCTGCTTACCTTAACAAATGTACCTTTTTTTGCACTTGGCTGGCAATGACAGCTTGATTTTGGAGTCTGCGTAGCAACATTATGTACTTCTCTGACTTGACGTATGATTGATGGCTGTTCACTGACACATGCATGAGACAATGCTGCAGATGGTGTGAGTAACTTTGGTAGAATATATGCACATTCTTTTGCTGGATGTGTATTTGCTGTTACCGACATTTGTTCAGGGCAGTTGGCTTCAAAAACAAGTCTGTGACCTTTCCTCTTACGTTCTATTCGGGTCACTGTTTGCTCGTCACCACAACTTGATGACAAAGGAGACTGGGCATGTTTTCTTTTTAACGATGACAAGTATTGAATTGACTGTTCTTCTGCTTTTCTTGACTGTTGCCATGCCTTTTCAATTTGGTATTTGCAGCTTGCACAAACTGCACGAGGCAGAGCATCATTTTCACTTAAATTTTCATTGAACACAGCCCGGTAAATCTTTCCAAATTCGCCAGTAATATTCCTCTTTCTTTTTTTATCCAAAAACTCACAACCACACTTAAGACAGAAATTTCCAGAGGTGTTCATCATCGGTTAAAAGCTAACTACTAACATGATTCTCCATAAGTCACACGTGCGTAGCGTAACCTACTTAACGCGGGTAATTTAGAAAGCCTTCCTACTTTACCTGTGGGAATGCATGCGCGCGTGCATACTTGTCTGGCTCGTTCACCAAAGAAATGCACGCAATCAGGAAACTTTCAGTTACAGAACATCCCCGTCCATTTGAAAATACTGTCTTCCCGAAAACTAACACATGGAAACGCATGTGAGGGTATTTTAAAGCTTGAGCTTTCAAGACGTATTCAATTCAAGCTTTCATCGATCACGCCTTCTATTTACGTTATTTACGATACCTTGTGATCGGTCAGAAGCAGAATTTTCTTGGTGCAGATGGGAATAGTCATCCCAAACGTTTTTCCGAGTCATCGATAGTTCCTTCGTTTCTGTTTGGGGAAGCAGAAAAGTGAAAGTTTCCCTCGCGAAACCTTGGTGAACGAACCAGACAAGTATGGCGAGATAATAGCCGTCGTGTACGAACACATGAAAAGAACTCGGGAGATACTGTTCGCTGATTGGGCACAATAATACAAAGGTTTTTTTGTGCCCAATCAGGAGCCGGCATCCGTTTGAATTTTTGGAAATGGTTCGGTAAGAGTCGGTACCCAGGGGCTCTTTCGCCCGTACTTGAAAACTTTCGTCGCGCCTATTCTCTCGACCCGACTGACTGCCCCTGGGTCTCCGAGGATGCAAGGTGCCCCGATGACAGATTTTTACCGCAAGGAAAACAAATTCTTCCAGAAATTTGCCAAGTGCGACCCATGTCTAATCCAAGTAATCCGCGGGGTAGTGAGAGGTGATAATCCTCTCCAGGGGTGATAATTCCCCAGGATAGTGAGAGGTGATAATTCCCCCAGGCCCCTTGAGACTGGACGGTTCATACAAAAACCCCACGGTGGGGCTTTAAAAAATCGTGCAAATGCCACACCCGGGGAGAACAACAAAATTGCATTTTCCAGTACATAAGCTGCAAATGCCATGTTTATAAGAAAAATCTGTGATAATCTGATCAAAATGCGTGAAGCATCCTTCGCCAAATCACTCCTAGCCGCTACAGTTAAAATTAGTCCCGACGTAACGACTCGAACCAAATCGAACGTTTTATTAATCGAATCGCCTTAACGTATACTAAATTCAGTAATCGAACACAATCGAACTCTCACGAAAAAATTAGTAATCGAACTTATTCGAACTTTGCTTAGGATTGAAGGTCGAAGTTGGCATGCATTCGAATAAACAAGGGACGTTATACAGGAAAATTGCGCGTGTTTTGCTAAACTTAGTTTCCTTTTTCTAGGGTGTCTTACGACTGAGTATATTCCGGGAGTGTTGCAGCGGATCAATGAAGTGTATTCTTTGGAGCGAATAAATATACAAGAACACCTGGGAAGAACAAGACTATATTGTCATACTACAAATTTATCTTTTAATAAACCTACTCAATCACAGATAGAGTGAATATTATATTTCGTGAAAGAGTTTTTAACCGTACGGCGTCTGTTGTACAGCTGTAGGTAACGTGACAATCAATCGCACCGGCACGTTCAGACTTCTCCACGTTTGTCTCTGCCACGTGGATCAGGGAAAGCATCTCCTGTCACAGCGCTACAGAAAAACAAAGCGACGAACATTTATTTCTCATGATCTTAGCTCATTAGGGTTTTCCAATTTAACGGAAGTTCGAGCCATTTTTCCGAGATTTGAAATTGATCCCATTATATTGTAAAAGGTCATCTCGATTTTTTCTTTGCATGATGTCATTGTTTATGCAAAATATCTGGCTCGTAAAAGGATAAATGAGCTTGGTAAATTTTTTCTAAAACAAGAGGATTCATTTGCAGTGTTTGTGTCTAGCAGTCGCATTCGATACGCGTACGCTGCAAATAAATTCACACTCGGTGCTAACGGTTTTTAAAAGTCATTTAAAAACGATAAAGCATATACTCTAACAAGCAAAAAAGGAAATAATTCTGCTTTCGTTTGCTGGATGATATCCTGGGCAGGGAGGGAATCTCTCACGATATCTAATTTTTCTTCATTAACCTGCGATCAGGCGGTCCTTAGATTTTCCCATTTTCTTTGGGAGGCCTGATCGCAGGTTATTTCTATATTTGCTGCGTCAAACGTAAATAAGAATGGTTTTCATTGTCTCATCGAGTGCCATACAAATACGATAATTTATAAAAAGGAAAGGAACAACATTGTATATCTCCTCTCCTACAAATTGGGAAAGACGCCGGGAAGTCTCCAGGCATCGCATCTCGCAATTTTGTCTACTTGTGGATATCTATTCGACTCTGTGCACTTTGTGGGTGAGGGTGAGGGCTGAAAACTATGGCAAAAGCTCAATAAATTTATACAAACGGCAGGATGTGCAATCATAGTTATTGGTGGAATCTAACTAACTAAGCGAATGCAAATATTTTTAGACACTGGCGCGAAATTCCATGGATTGTAGAAGAAAGCCTCATATATAACAACTTATTGAGTGACAAAAGAATAACAATTGAAAGCAGCACATAAGTTACATGCATATTCTTTGGAAAAACACACATTTTAACCTAGTTCAAAATGAAGGTTTAAACAAATTAGGCTGAGTGCCTGCTTAGTTTTGATGGTAGAAAGAATAGGGTGAAAACTTTCTTCCACGCCCCGTATAAAAACCCAGCCTTAGAAACATTGTCGCCTTCCATACTTCAGCACCTTGTTTCAGAGAGTGCAAAACCCGAATTTCACGGTGTATTGTGATTTTTTACTTGCAATATTTACGTGCCGTGATTTGTTGGGGGCTGAAGAGGAATATTCTATTTTTTTTTTCTCGTCTCCTTCAGCCTGAGACTCTAAAGAGTTGGCCATGGAAATTACTGCCTTGAATCCTGATTTTCTTGGTGAATCGAATTATATGTAACTTTGCAAGAATGATATAAAGTTGAGAGCTGTAGTTGGTCTCGTAAAGTGAAGTTATAAACAACCCAGCAATTTACTTACAGTAGTCGGCGGTGAACGAATTTCACGTATGGAAAGCCGCTATTCAACTTCCGCAGAACTTCCGCTAAATCGGAAAACCCTATTTGGTTATTTTGTTGCTTTGTTCTTGGGTACTTACATATGGGTACTTACCTGTCTTTTATTCTGTGAGTAACCGGCCTAAAGTCGTCCACTAATTCCTTCTGAAGATTTGCTAATTTTCCCCTTTTGTTTTGAACATCCTCAATCCTTGTCTATTTTAAGTGATGGTTTAAAACGTTGGATTAAGTCCGATTGGTTCGATTGTGTTCCGAAATCAAACTTAATAGAATTTTCTCGCAAATATTTTAGTTCGGAATGTGTTGGATTACTGAACTTAATCGAACCCAGTCGCTCGATTAAGTTGAATTGAGTTCGACAAGTTCGATTACCGAACAGTTGGAGTGGTTACGTCGGAAATTACAGGGTGTCCCAAAGGCTCATTCCTCTGCTTTACAAGTCTGTAATGCAGTACGATTGGTCTGGATGAACAAATCGTTTACAAGTAAATAAAAGTTGTGTCTTTTCAATGTTATTTAATTAATATTTCATACTTGTCTTACCATCTTTTGACTTGAATACCTTTGGTACTCTCGCGCGCGAGTATATTTTCCGGCCACATATTTTTTGTATTTTGTAGCCCAAATTGCTCGAATTCTTTCGTTGTTTTTAAAGACAAACCCTTTTAACGCAAAAACGCTCAGTTATGCTTATCTCTGAGTTAAAGAAATCGCTGAAAAGCTGGAAAAATCCGAATGTTGGATGGTAAAATGGTCATCGAGAAATGAAAGTTTTGAAGACCTAGAAACGAAGGGGAAGACCAAAAGTGACATGAATAAAGCAGTTAAATAGAATAGTCTTATGCTGTGTTTACACTCAAGCGTTTACCAAGGTAAACATTAACTGACTAAACCCTGGTACATTTGTACAGTGTTTATACGGGCTCAAATAACTAAGGTAAATCTGTCATCAATCACAGTCTAATCGAATTGGCGGCAAATTCTAAATCCACGCATAAAATGCTCGCGTTTAAAAGAGAAGCTGTGGCTCTTGTAGTCCTCGCGTTTTATTTTCTTGTTCTTGATCAACAAACCCAGGAATCGAGATTGCAGCAGCTCTTACTTTTGCAGCACCTAAAGAGGTCGAGGTGAAAGCGATTAATTCTGCTACAAATTGCCCTTCGCAAGACAAGGCGCGTTAGACGTGCGTGGTCGTGGCCGAGAAACCAATTCTGGTTCGAAACTCTATTAAATGGAAATTTTGTTGAAGAATGGTGTGTCTTTTGTGTCTTTGGTTTATGCCATAACTTCTTCGTAGACCGAAACCAAACGTGGAAACCTGGTCGAAAACCTGGTCTCGAAAACGTGATCGAATGAGACTGACGCAATCCCGACACCACAGGATGTGAAATTCTATGCGACCGCAAGCGGATGTATCTGTCATCCAAACCTTGGTTACCGACCTTAACCATGCCTGCTCGCACGGTAAACTGACCTTTTACCTTAGTTAACTTTCTATTGTCTTGAGCGGTGTTTACCAGGGTATCAGTTGGCGTTTACACACGCAAAATATTTACCTAGGTAAGTTAACTCCAATACCTCGGTAGCACGCTCAAGTCTAAACACGGCATTAAAGGGCTAGGTACAAAAGAGGAAACAAGACGAGGTAGCTCTCACAACAGTTAGCATGATAAGTCCGGAACAGGTTCATGAAAAACGATGGTTGAGACAAGATGGCAGAAACAAGTTCTGCTCAGTCCGCCAAGCAACGCTCAGCTTGTGTCGAATTTGCATGTGCAAAAGTACAAAAGCCTCAAGGCGGAAAGGATTTTTTTTGGAATGAATGCCCAAAATATTTTTTTCCAGCTGCCTAACCTGAAAAAAGATATTGTTAGGGATCGAAGTGGCTACTGCTTACCAGGTGAAAACAAAACAAAGGCTATGGATCATCTGGGGCTCTTC